TTATCATCATTCATATTAGTAGATAGCAGCGTAGAGCAAGTTAGACAGTGTAGTGTAGTATATAAGACTACAATGAATATACATTGAATAAGACATAACTGTTTTTTTTTTTTTAATTTAAGATACGTCTCGCTGGATGTGTAATCAAAAATGGTGTGGATTCCATGTAGAAAGGCTTGAGAAGAGCAGCTTTTCAAAAAGGGTTAATAGTTGGAACGGTGGGAGTGGACCTTCCTCAACATTTGCTTCGGGTGGTTATGTTGATTGCAAAAATATCGGTAGTCCATTCAATGCGGATCTCAAAAGGTTTGGTTCTGTGAAACCATAGCTGTACTGTAATTCATAAAATCTCATAATGGTAACAACTTCTTACTATTCATTAAAATCGACGACACATAGACCGACCTACAATTGATCGCTACAGCGATAATGCCTCATACAATCATGTGTTTTTCATGCTTTTGATAAGATGTACTGTATTGCCAAATAATCAAAGGGCAAAAAAATACGTTGAGTGGCTTGCTGGGAAGGTCGTGTAACGCAGGGGAGTGCGAGAGCCCGTGCTCGTCTTTAGCTAGATAGTAGAGCTATCAGAACATAGAGATGTATTGTGTGTATATGATGAGATGATCCAATAATAATGGTAAGGCTACCGCAGTCGTTGTAAGCGAAACTAATTGATTACTAATCCGAGGTGTCAATGGTTGTTAAGATTTTTGCTTATATGGGACCAGATGTCTCAATCTTAGAGGGAGGAAAAGCTAGTAAACGTTCCACATGACAGGATCAATGCTCACCAACCCTTGCTTGAGAAGCACTTGTAAAGTGAGTAACAAAAAGAACGAAGACGCAACACACCAGTCACACTCTACGCAGACGACGACAGAAACAAAAGGCACAAATCCAACGAGGCGACTCGAGAAAATTTTGTGGTTCCACACACACACCCACATGCCCAGAACGCACATCGCCGCACTGCACCGCAAGCACACTGCACAGCCCACGAATGGGCACAGCCAAGCGCACAACAACAATACACTACAAGCAGCCAGCACTCAGACGACGGACACACACACACACAACCCACTCACACCACACACACACCACACACACAGAGCGCACCCACATAAACAAGCAAAAGACGTATGACAGTAAAATTTATGATAAAGCATTGGCCACATATCACGCCAAAAGGTCATGTCGCGCGGTACGCACCAAAAGCCGCTGTCGTCCGAATCACACGCCTGAAAGATGTGACGGATCAAAGGACCCTGGCCGCCACACACCATCACCCACAAAAAGCACCGAATCACACGAGGGACAGTCAGCGGGCACCAAACGAAAACAACAGGATACGAATTATGAAGTCAAACACGAAGATCTCATCTGGGCAAAGAAGAACATCGACGCCACCACACAAGCCATGCGATCTTATCAACATTAAACAAAAACTTGGCTCTATCATTAACCAGAGCCAGGAAGCGCCAGCAACGCGACGCCGGCTGGGCACGATAGCACAGAACGGACGACATACAGCACACATATTTGTAGTGTATGATAAACAGAGCTTATCAGAAGATTGAAAGCTACATGGAGGACGTACTAACTGACTCACCGCTAGACACCATAGGGGCTCTCATCTCGCGCGCTGCGCCAGAATCTACGACCAGGCGTGGCCCTGGTAAGAGGCATGGATGGGAGAGCTCCGTACAAAATCCACAGCTAAGAGTGCATGCAATGGGACAGAATTCACGTAAACTCACGACACATGTTAGACAACCAGGCGAAGATTGGACCTCACTTCGAGGAGCGCTTCCCATCAAGCCATCTTGAGGTGTCGATGATGGGGAATGCGATGACTCAGTCCTACTAACAGTCTACTCCAGCGAGAGCCGAACATACAGACAACGACAAATTGGAGTTGTATACTCATGCTATAATCTGGTCTGAATATCAATGAACTATCTTCACACGCGATTCATCGTCCATCCGATCAACGCTTCGCTCAGAAATACAATTCTTTCATACAACACACATAGTCACGGGGAACCTCACCCGAACCCAAAGACCGCCATACACAGGCAAAACGGGCCCCGAACGGAACAAAGAGGCATACAATGCTACCCAGCCGTACGCACAAGATTCACAACCCGCGAGAGTCCGCCTGCGCGACGCCAAGGCGCCACGCTACGGAGGAAGGAAAGAAACAGCGACACATCCAGGAGCGGCGTTACAAAAAACAGCCGCAGACGAACCAAACCAAACAGACCGGTCGGCCGGCGGAGCCCGCGGTAATCGCCATCCTCCTGGGCCGGGACGCGCGGCGTGCACGACGAGCCGTGACCACCGCTTGCTTCAAATGCGCCGCCAGACAAGGCAAGCTGCGGAGTAACAGGCAACCCGACGGACAGAAATAACAATTAGCTAACCATAAAAAAACGCCGACCTAGCGGCTCACCGCTGTCCGACGCTTTCCCCCAATCAGCCTGACCCATCTAAGCCCCGTCCGGCTACGCTACGACAACCACGGAAAAACGGACTCAAGGTACACTACCTAATTTCAGAAGGCTAAAATCCGCCAACCAAAGCACATTTCAAAAAAAATTACCTACCAACCTAAAGCTACACAGATTTACCAAAACAAGGCTTATCGGTAGTGTAAAACATAATAAGACTTCGCCTTCTATTCTATTGCATGATTTCAGATCGCCATAATAGAGATATATAATCCATTGATAACGCCTGCACTATGTCAGAGAGAAACAAATGACAATACACACACGAAGATCCGCATCAACCAACCACTGAAGCACACACATTAATTTGTACATATAGCTAACTTATGTGTACCGCCTACAACCCTATGCGCACTATTTCTCACGAAGCAGAAACGTCACTTTCTCGACGCACGTATAGTAAGAAAACAGTCAGTAACTTGTGCTATCGAATGTAGTACGAGATTACCGCCGGGGTGACTTATCTCGATGGAAGCTGCCTGTAGTTAGATATGTATTTTATATATTATTGGTTTCAGCTACTTAAACGGCAAGGTAGTAACCCAGACATGATTACCTCTGCATAACGTCTTCAGTCTATCATTCGACACGAACAATTTAAAGTGTGTGTCTAGCTCACACCTTTATTGTCACCACCTACATGAGAACGCAGAAGCGCCTATTCAACAAATAAGAATAGACAACTGTTTGGATGCGCGCGATCGCAACTACGTTCTTATGAGGAAGCGAGTGAATGCGCGGTCACGAACCGCAATCGGCCAAGAACCCCCCAATTCTAGGTCGCGGCGATAGAGCGAGAAGCGCGGATCGCGCCCCTTAAATGAAGCCTTGATTGTATAATATAACTACCTCGTCTGTCATGATTTGTTTCAGTCATCACTCAATGGCAACTGCCAGCCAATCACCGCACAGCCCGCACACGATCAACCCTGATGCTAGTCGCTGAATCTATCACCACCTCAAGTAATATCAGTTCTAGAAGCTTGTGTTTTTAGAATTTATATATACTTTTCAAGATTAGTTGAATAACGCGAGTGGCCAGACCCCAATACGAACGCTGAAACAATAATCACCTAAAGTAAGCACCAGCACCAACGAAACCCACGCTCCACTCTCTTCGGCCTCATCCAGACACTTAACAAATCGGCGACAATAGCGCACAAGTTATAAACGTGGAAACGAAACGCTCAATAACCAAACCCGACGAGAGTAGCAACTATCGCGCGCATGAACGCGACTCCGTCAGGTGGGATCAAGGCGAAATAAGACAAGATAGCACAGATTATATACCGGGCAAGCTCCCAGCTGTGACAGCTCTGCAAGATCACCCGCTATAAGAATTAAATATAACGGTGCGACTTCAACGAACCAACAATAAACATAGTAACTTAAACTATTGTTTAACACTAGAGGACCCCACATCATGCATAATACATCTGTGTCATTCATCGAGCAGTACAATCATAACTCATAACGAACCAAGTACCTCAAACGTAGTACCAAACATCTATAAAGGGAAAAGAAAATGTTAAAGGCACAAACATATTTGGGGCACCCTGGGATCCAGAGGCTGGTAACAGCAATTTACCACCTCACGATAATCACAGCGCCTCATCCTAAATTTTAAAACCAATGCCTCGTTACCGAATCCTCGATTCAAATAAAATACTGCAAA